CCATGTTCAAGGACTTCAACGAGTCTTCAGCGAAACTCTTCAAGAACTCCATTCAAACTTCGTTCATCCAACATGCAATCAATCGTTTATTATCAAGAACTCTAAGAATCATCGAGCCATGGATTTAGCTTATATTGATTGTAGTCTTGTTAGGTCGTTGGGGATTACAAGGTACAGAGCGAGTTTGATTTGGTGGTGAGCAATTTGGTGAGAAGCAGACGATTGATGGTAAGGTGAAGAGGCGAGGATGAGGGTTTGAGGAAGGGAGAAGGAGAGGGAAGACGGCGCCGGTGATGAACAGTGGAAAGAGAAGACAGAAGAGGAATTAGGTTTTGGGAGATTCTGCATGGATTGGGCCGGGCCCAAGTCTGTTTGGCCGTACACCCCCCCCCCCCCTATTCTCCGTGCGCCCTCTGTTTCAGTTTTGTTTATTTTTGCTGAACAATGGGTTGGGCCCTATGTTCTTCACCAGACCAACACACACTGTTTCACCACATACACCCCCCTCTGTTTCCTGTGTTACTGATTGGGCTGGGCCCAATCCCATTTGTTTTTTGTTTTTTCTGTATCACCCCCTTTGTAACTGGGTACCCCCTCCCCTCTTTTGTATTTTTTTCTTTATTATTATATTGTTTAGTTTTTTCTATTGAAAAAGAATAAAAAAAGAATAGAGAAAGAAAAGAAAAATAGTAAAAGAAAAATAAAAGAAAATATAATGAAGAAAAGAAAAGAAAAGTGGAAAAACAATAAAAGAAAGAGGAGAAAAATATAGAAAAAATATGAAAGAATAGAGAAAAATAAAGAGAAAAATATATTGAAAAAGGAGAGAAAATATTGTGAAAAAATACATAGAAAAATATGGAAAAATATGTTGAAAGAAAAGAGGAGAAAATAGTTGAAAAGAAAAGAAGGAAAAAAGGAAAAAATATTAAAGTAGACTTAATATTTTTTTTAAGTACATTTTCTTTTAGGATATATTTTCATAGAAATTATTTTTACGGTTTTAGGGATAGTTTAGAAGCCCACTTGTTAGGGGGCTATTTTTCATTCGATTTTTCAGGATAGGATAGGATAGTATTTCCTAGGAGATTTATTTTCAGTATGCAAGCATTGTAATCATTTTTCAGAATGTTAATAAAACGAGATTTGAGTTGTGGTCCCGAAGTAGCCGAACTACAACTGCTCTGATTCCTCGTACCAGACGAGGATATGTAGGCATAGGATGCGATATCCTAGCGAGCACACTAACGACTGACTTTTTGTTCTCTCGCTGCTGTGCGATCGAGACCTTCCCGCTGACGACTAATTGATACCCTTTTTCTCTCTTGCCCAAGTGCATTTGAGACCAAACCATAGTTTTGCCCATAGGTCCCCGAACCTTTGAAACCAGTTGTTTTTCTCACTGCTGTGTGAGAATACCTCGCTAATCCGTATTATCCCGAACTACGTGAGCTCTGATCTTTCATACCTGTGTGGAAGTACGTAGGCATAGGATGCGACGTCCTAGCGAGCAACCTTCAACCTTTCCCCGCAATCCTTTGTAGGCGAACTACGTTGACTCTGATTTCTCATTCTCTGATGAGAATACGTAGGCATAAAGTGCGACGCTTTGCCGAGTCATTTTTCCTTTCTTTTTCAGCCGGCCTTGATAGGTAGATAGATTATAACCAACCCGTCCAAGTAAACAAACAAGCGAGGATCCCGTCGAGTACGACGGACGTGAGGGGTGCTAATACCTTCCCCTTGCGTAACCGACTCCCGAACCCAGGTTTTGGTTGCGATGACCATACCTTTCCCCGTTTTTTTGCGAGGTTTACTTCGAGCGTTTCCTTTCCCTCCCATGGGATAAATAACGCACGGTGGCGACTCTTCTGTCATGCCGGCACCTTATTTTCGCGCAAGCGACATATATGATCTAAATGATTGATCATTTAATTATGTGATTAAATGATGGCTATATATTACAAATTTAATGCGACTGGCAATAAATGTTTTAGAATAGACGCATGACAAAGGTGAAGTTTGGATAAAGTACTCTAATATCAATTTTTATATTCGAAGTTGGAAAAAAATCTCTATATTCGAGTTCATGTTCAGTTGGGTGTCAACATTAACACTCATACCTGTATTTCATGGATATGTAAGTTTTTAAACTTGTAACCGTTATTCGCATTTCTAATAAAAATAAGTATATTAAGTATAAATATCATTTTAAGTTTTTAAGAATAATTAAAAGCCTTCAAACAAATTATTGTTAAATTATAAAATAACCATACATTTATATTAAATATATAATAATTTAACAATGATGTATTTTTAAAATTTAATAAATATTTTTAATTATATATATATATATATATATATATATATATATATACATATATATATATATATATATATATATATATATATATATATATATATATATATATATATATATATATATATATATATATATATATATATATATATATATATATATATATATATATATCCGGTAAGAACCATTAGTGACAAGCGAGAATTATCATTATCAATTATTAGATTTAAAAAATCTATATAAAAACACCTTACTCAATCTTTTTCTATTACACTTATTATTTAAAAAATTTATAAAAACTATTCTTACTAAAAATATTTGTATTAGGATTAATAAATTGTTTTAAAATATTTATTATAAACATACTTAATATTTAGTTAGGATATTATCATAAAATATACTTCAAATGTGTTTTCTATTTTTATTTTAAATAAAAATTATCTAAACTATAAATATTTTTCAAAATTATAAGAAAATTTTCAAAATTAACTTCTAAAAAATAATATTAGTTTTAAAATAATCAAAATATGAATTGTTTACTCATCTTCCTAAAATTAAAATTACTTTTCAATAAAATTATGTCATAAAAAATATAAAAAATTTCTACCATCAATAATGGAACATTCGTACAATGACGAGTGAGTGAAAGATATTTAATTTTGCATACAATAAGTGTAAAATTTTAATTGTGAAAGTTTAGGTGAATTGAACTTTTAGAATTCAATGAAATTATGGTGTACTTTAAAGTCTAAGAATGTAGTATTTGATAGGATTGATAGTAAAAATATTATTAAATATTCTTTAGAATATAAGAATTAATAAGTAATAATATAATTTTATTAAAAAAAGACTATGTAATTTTAATTTATTTGTCATTATATTATGTAAAATTTATAATATATTTTCAATTAAAATATTTATGCTATTTTATTTTATATATAAATAAATATATATATATATATATATATATATATATATATATATATATATATATATATATATATATATATATATATATATATATATATATATATATATATATATATATATATATATATATATATATATATATATATATATATATATATATATATATATATATATATATATATATATATATATATATATATATATATATATATATATATATATATATATATATATATATATATGAGATGTTAATGGGGTGTGTTTCTCCCCGCCACTAAATTTATTTTTCGTTTCACATATCCGTGGGAAAATTTCTATCGTTATCTCCTTCCTTACGGATCTTACATTTATACATTAATATTTTATTTTATAAAATATTTATATATTTTTTAAAAATAAAAAATATAGTATTTCACTTATTCTTAAAAAACTATAGATCATCAAAATTAACAAGGGATAATTATAAATATTTATTTATCTTAAAAATAAATATAAAAAAATGACAAAAAAAACCCTATTGAAAAATATAAAATATAAATTAAATTAACTATATTAAAATAAATTGGCGGGATATGGCCCTGCGGGGCGTGGGATGCAATCCCCATTCTCATCTTTGAACTTTTCTCCCTATCTCTGTCTCCATGGATGAAAATTCCCCATTTTTAAGGTCTCGAACATGACAATTTTTGAATTTTTGCAGAAATCTCAATTAAAGATGCAAACTGACATCTTTAATATATATATATACTCATTTATTTAATGAATAATTACCCGTACTTATGTTTACTTATATTTGTGAATGTCTTTTAATTCTTTGTGTATATTTTTATAAATATCTATTGTAGATGGATCAAATGGTGATACATTGATTGTTATATAATATATAATAGAAAAGCTATTTTGACACTCAACCCTTAACACTACACCGTATTTTACTGTTCACCAATATGGTGAATAGTACATGAACAGTGCAGAACAGTGTCACAACAGTATGAACAATACCATAAACAGTGCATAAATAGTAGCTCGTAAACAGTATTCGTGAATAATTTTTTAAATTATGAAATAAAGTTGGTTAATAAAGTATAAAAATTTGGCTAATGAAGTGATGATATTCATTCTTCACTTTCGTTTGATGTTATTTAGTAGAAAGAACCATTTATTTACTTTATAACGTTACTTTTCATAGTTTTGCCTAATAACCAAATTATAAATCAGTTGTTTCAAATTAAATACATAAAATAGACTCGTGTGTTGCACGGATCAAAGATTCAAAGATCTAGTAAATAATGATATAGTTTTGGTATTTTTATTTTACTATAAACGAGGCAATATGGAAGGAGTATGAAAAACATATGATTTTTTAATTTCTAAATATGATAATTTAAATTTAATTTGATAAAACTTTAAAATTAGTAAAGTTATGTGGCTCCTAATCAGCACGAAACTGTGGTCAATCATTATCCACATAGCTTCCTAATATTAATATTAGTTATCTTGAATGATATCTTTCGTAAAAACTAATTTTCATTACTATAAATATAAAGATTCAAATCTATTTTGTTATATACACCCAATTACACCTCTATATATATATATGGACATTTTATAACAAATACCCAATTAGACCTCTATATAAATATACGCACGTTTTAGAACAAAGACACAAATAAAAGAAATCACTTTGAGTAGCTTGAATTTTTTTAGCTAGAGAGGAAGAGAAACTAAATCCATTAACAATATCATCATCATGATAATGAATCAAGGTGACAAAGAAGCTCAAAAGACATCACTGAACAAATATGCTTTGGCTTGTGCCCTTGTTGCTTCAATGGTATCCATTGTCTCTGGTTATGGTAATATTATCACATTCTCTAATCTCTCTCATTTTTTATTTAATTTACTCTATGCATTCGTCAAAAAAAAATCGAAGAGGTTGTTTTTCATATCAAATCCTATTTGGAATTGATTTTTTCTTTAATCTCCTTGATTTTTTTTCTATTAAGTATATTCGCATATATATATATATATATATATATATATATATATATATATATATTTATTTATTTATTTATTTATTTATTTTATGTCAGGTGTTTGACTATTAAGTATATCTTCTGATATATGTTATTATATTTTATTTTGATTATTAAGTATATTTTCTAATATATTTTATGTAAGGTGTTTTTAAGTATATTTTCTAATATACTTTATTATATTTTAACGTCATTGGATTTTTTTTCCGCCTTTTATATATTATATTTTCCATTTAAAATAAAAAATAATAAAAAGGACTATATTTTATGTAAGGTGTTTGACTATTAGTTGACTATTCGTGAATTTATTTAGTCATGTATGTATTATTAAATCATTTAATCTCGAGTCATTTTTATAATAATTTATTTTTAAATAAATTAAAATTTAAAATATATTTTTTCTAAAAAAAGTTCATACTTATCAAAAAAATTTATCAGATATAATTATTAATTTGTGAATGTTTCAATCTAGATTGGACGGTTTATATTTTAAGTTCATTATTTATTATTATTTGATAAACATAATAAATCTGAATCACAGTATAATATAGTTGAAATATGTTTGCATTTTTTCCTCAACTTGGTTTTAATTTCAGATACTGGTGTTATGAGTGGAGCAATGATATTCATAAAAGAGGACTTGGGAATCAGTGACACACAACAAGAGATTCTAGCAGGAATCTTAAACGTATGTGCACTAGTAGGATCCTTAACAGCTGGAAGAACTTCTGATTACATTGGTCGTCGCTACACAATCTTCTTAGCCTCTATACTCTTCATCATTGGTGCAATTCTAATGGGTTATGGTCCAAACTACGCAATTTTAATGGTTGGAAGATGTATTTGCGGTTTAGGTGTTGGTTTTGCACTCATGGTAGCACCTGTTTACTCAGCTGAAATTTCATCTGCAGCATCAAGAGGTTTCTTAACCTCTTTACCTGAAATTTGCATTGCCCTTGGAATTTTTTTAGGTTATATATCAAACTATTTGTTGGGAAAATATTTCAGTTTGAAACTTGGTTGGAGATTAATGCTTGGTATTGCCGCTATTCCTTCGCTTTTCGTAGCTTTTGTTATTTTATCAATGCCAGAATCTCCAAGGTGGTTGGTTATGCAAGGTCAATTAGGAAAAGCAAAAAAAGTTCTATTACGAGTTTCAAACACAACACAAGAAGCTGAACTTCGTTTCAAGGATATTAAAATTGCTGCTGGTTTAGATGAGAATTGCACCGATGAAACTGTGGAAGTAACTCAAAAATCTCAAGGTGAAGGAGTTTGGAGAGAGTTGCTTATAAGACCAACACCTTCTGTGCGTTGGACATTAATTGCTGCTGTTGGAATTCATTTTTTCGAACATGCAACCGGAATCGAAGCGGTTATGTTATATAGTCCAAGAATTTTCAGAAAAGCTGGTGTTACAAGTAAAGAGAAGCTTTTGCTTGCAACAATTGGTGTTGGATTAACAAAGATTATTTTTCTATTAGTCGCTTTGGTTTTGCTTGATAAAGTTGGTAGAAGAAGGCTATTGCAAGTGAGTGTTGGAGGAATGATTATTGGGCTTACAACATTGGGTTTTAGCTTGACTATGGTGGAACATGCACATGAGAAGCTCTCATGGGCTTTGACACTTAGTATTATGGCAACATATGTTTATGTTGGTTTCTTTAATGTTGGACTTGCACCTGTGACTTGGGTTTATAGTTCAGAGATTTTTCCTTTGAGGTTGAGGGCACAAGGAGCAAGTATTGGAGTTGCTGTGAATAGAAGCATGAATGCTCTTGTTTCAATGACTTTTATTTCTATCTACAAAGCAATCACAATAGGTGGAAGCTTTTTCATGTTTGCTGGGCTATCTGTAGTAGCTTGGATATTTTTCTATTTTTATCTTCCTGAAACTAAAGGTGTGGCTTTGGAGGAGATGGAGATGCTTTTCACCAAAAAATCTAAAGAGAAAAATGTAGCAATGGTGACTGCTCCAATGCATAGTGTCTAGTATGGTTTGCTTCTATGTATTGTAACAAAGTCATGTTTGTTGTAAACCTTACTAAATTACTTATTGTAATTTGTTAAATAAATTCAACTTTAGATAGATTGAATTGTGTTTTTCCTTTTGTAAATATTAATTTATCTTTAGTAAGCCCTAGAGTATCAACATTTTGAGTACCATAAAAAGTTTTAATTCCCATGTCTTTATTATATATTAACAAATCACATGTCTCAGACAAATCATACGCTGAATGGATATCTTTAAAAAAATTATTTTTTTTATTAGGTCTCCTTAAATTAGTAGGATATCATACGAGCATGACATCCAAATAAATGTTCAGCTCATTTTTTTACAAATGAGAAAGACATAAAAACAATTTTAATTTAGTTTGTCTTAGAAGATATTGAAACGAATATGTGGTTCGATTTCTACTTTTCTGTGTGTAAAGTGGAAGAAAATTTAGGGAAAAGAGAGTGAGTTAGGATAAACGATTTGCGGAAGATGGGTTTTTAATAACTATTCTAAAAAAAAAGTTGAATATGTATTTATAAACATATTCCATATTGTAAAATTATTTAATCTAGTAAAACTCACTCTGCCCACCACTTAAATTGCTAAAGTGTAAAAAAAAAAATGTCGGCCATCAAATCACTTCAACTTCCGTTAGAGACACTTAGTAGGGCGGTTAAAAGTATGAATGAAAAATATTAAGAGTATTATTCTTTAAAGGAAAATTTATGAAAGATGAAAAGTGAATTTTGGTATATTTAAGAGAACCATAAATTTATTTAACCTTTAAAAATATATATCACTTATTCCTTCCGTTGAGAGGAAAACCGAGGTAAAATGTCTGTTAGGGACAAGCTTTAATTCACAACAATTACAATTTTATATTGTATTTATAATTATAATTATACATTCCTTTTTTTATTCTAATATAAAAAATAAACAAGTTTTTCCTTCGTTTACTTAGAAAAATCAAGAAAAAATGTTACCCTAAATTTATATATAAAGCATCACGTTCTCGCTCTTGCCATAAACTTAATTCATCGAATTCTGCCTCTAAACTTCATATTTCTCCTCTAAACCAAACTATATTTTATATTGTTATTGTTGTTGTTAATTTTGTTGTTGTTTCTGTTGTTGTTACTTTTGTTGTTGTTGTTGTGTCGATGTAGTTGTAATTGTTTCTTTATGAATAATTTCTCAATATTATCATCAAGGCAAATATTCAATGATTTATTGTTTTCTTTGGTTGACAACATTGAAAAAATTATTCATAATCGTACTTAGAAGATATTGCATCTCAAAAATAAAATGGTCAATGGTAAGAAATTGTATATGATATTTTTTTACCGTTCACCATTTTTTTGTCTACAATAGAAACTATCTGTTCCCTTGTTCGAGCTGATAGACGAGGGGCAAAGTCCCTACGAGACATAATTTGATTCCCAACAACTAATATTTTATGTTTTTATTTCTTTTAAAATGATGTCCTTATTTTATTCTATTTATTTATTAAAATTTTAATTAATTATTCCCTCGGTTATGCCAACTGGAAGGAAAACTAATGGCGCCCTTATTTTCTAAAATCATTATGTTAGTTCGCATTCACTTTTGTTTTTTGAACCCTAGCAAGCATAGCACCTTCATTTTCTCTACTAAACCAAATCAAACTCCATCTTGCAAGTCAAACGAAATAAATAAAGTAGGAAAGAAACTAGAATAAGGAAACTTGAACGGAGCTCGAATAAGAAAACTCAAAACTCATACCAACTCATTTCTTTGACCCTCTCATCGTGTTTCTAGTACGTAAATACTTTCTCCATGACTGTAATTATAATGCTATTGTTGTTGTTGTAGTTATTTATTTGAGATTGAAGGTTTAATGTCATTGTTGCTTTATTGAGATCGAATATTCTTTGTTGTTGTTGTTGTGTTGATTTGTGTATGATTTTAATTTTATTTTCATAAAGTACGTATGGATCGTAGTTGGATGAGAACCAATAGATTAAGTGATAAGTATGAGAATGTAGTGTGTGAATTTCTTGAATTTGGCAAAAGAAAATTTACAGACAATAAAGGAATTTTTTATTGTCCGTGTAAAAAATGCAAGAATACAAAAAAAAAACGCGGAAAGAAAGAAAATACTCAATCATCTAGGTTTTTATGGAATTTGTCAAAATTATATGACATGAGTGTGGCATGGTGAAGTGAGAAAAAAACAATGTGTCACATATAGTTGAACTTAATGAAAATATGGCTGATTAATTAGAAGATATGTTTCGTGATATTAGAGAATATTATTTTATGGGAGCTTGTGTGTATAACACTTTACACAGTGACAAGGAAAAGTCGTTATTTCTGGAGTGCAAAAATTTTACACAATTGTCAATTGTGTTAAGACTATTTAATTTGAAGGGAAAATGGGTAGAAAGATAAAAGTTTCACTTAATTGCTTAAATTGTTGAAAGATATGCTTCAAGAAGATAACGCGATATCAAATTGTAATTATGAGGCCAAGAAGATATTGTGTCTAATGGGTTTGGAATATCTCAAAATTCATGCATGTCGTAATGATTTCATATTATACATGAAAGAGTATAAACTATAGAATGAGTGACCAAGATGTAGGGAGTCACGCTATAAGTGAAAGAACAATGGTGTTGATGATGAGGATGGTGTGAGCAAAAAGGGTCCTCCTACCAAGGTGATGTGGTACCTACCAATAATTTCAAGGTTCAAGAGATTGTTTGTTAATGTTAATGACACAAAGAATATTATATGGCATGCAGAAGAAAGAAAACGTGATAGAAAAATTCACCATGTTGCTTATTATTTGTAATGGATGAAAATTGATTCCTTATTTCCAAATTTTGGTCATGATCCAAGAAACCTTAGTCTTGGACTTGCCACTGATGGAATGAATCATTTCGTAATTTGATTACTAACCATACTTCATGTACTGCTCTGGTCATTATTTACAACATATTTATGTAGTTATACATGAATTAGAAATATATAATATTGTCTATGATGATTTCGAGTTCAAAACAACTAGGAAATGATATAGATGTTTATCTAAGGCAATTGGTTTAAGATTTAAATGTTTTATGGTAGGATGGCTTTGATGTTGATGATGCGTATTCGAGTGAAAATTGTATGATATGTGTCATGTTGTTTTGCATAATCAATTATTTTCCTATATGTGTAGTTGATACATGCTTCCACCAAATAAAGAATAGAAAAAAAACTGTTTATCTTAGGCATAAAAAATTTATAAAACCCAAACATATATCCATATAGTAGATTGTGGAAGGTCTTTAGTGGCTATTCATGGTATTTTGCTATAAAAAAAGGTATAAGAAACTATAATTATATTGTGTTTATTCTTCAATGCTATTTGTGATAAAATCATTGATCCAAGAAATTTATATGAGTTGGAACATGAGGCTGCGATTATCTTGTGTCAACTGGAGATGTATTTTCCTCCATCATATTTTGATATTATGGCTCACTTAATTGTTCATCTAGTCAGAGAGATTAGATTTTATGGCCTAGTTTATTTAATGTAGATGTATCTAATAAAGCGATACATGAAGATGTTTAAAGGGTATACAAAGAATCATCATCGTTTGGAGGCTTTGATCATTGAAAGCTACATCACATAAAAAGATATTGAGTTTTTTTAAAACTATTTATCAAAAGCATACTCTATAAGAATTTTCAAGTATCGTCATGATGGAAGATATGAAAGTAAACATACTCAAGCTTTAAATGTTAATACAATGATACGAAATGTAGTTTTTCAAGCACATTTGTATATATTTAATAAGGTTGATTAATTTCAACCATACTTATCCACTCAAAAAAGACTGATCGAAGAAAAATTCTCTTGGATGATTAAAAAATAGATGTTGACAGAGCATAAAAAATGTTTCATAAATTGGTTTAGTGAATGAATTTCTAAAGATGGGAGTGCATCTAAGACAATTAAATGGATATCACATATGCCTAAGCTTAATGTAATAACTTGGAGTGCATATGACATTAGTAAACTTTCATTCTATACAAAATCTAAGGATAATCGCAGTAACATGCAAAATAGTGGGGTTTATGGTGTTGGAACAAGTTTAGTTCTACAACTATCCTTGAGTTTTGATGATAACAAAGTGTGGAGAATAATTTTGTACTCTAACTATTTTATTGAGTATACATAAATTTAAAAATAAACTCTGACTCTGAAGACATCCAAGCTCTGAACCAAAGGATATAAGTGTGTTTACAAACAAGTCAATTCTGATGCTTCAAGTCAACTCTGTTATGTCAAAATCAATGTTTCTGAACAGAAACCAGCCAGATAGATTCTGGTGCAGGTTATGACTACCAACTTCTGAAATTCTCAAAACCCAGTTCTCCGAAGACTCTGAAGTCTCACCAAGTTCTGAAGACAGACTTTGATCTTTATTCAAGCTTAAATCCACTTGCATAAGAAGCCTCTGGCTACAAGATTCGTATCAAAAGGTCAATGTTGTTTGATGCACCAGAATTACAAAAGAAAATCTACTATGTATGTAAAGTATTGTATGTTGTACAAAAAAAGCTTCTCATGTCCCATCATGCTCATCAACTCTCAGTTGCAAGTGTCACTCTATTGTTTTATATGAAGTGATCTTCAAACAACCTTTACATTGAGGATATTCCAATTTCACCCTCTAATGGATCTATTTGCTTCTATCTAAAGAAGTCTTTGAATATTGGAATAGATATACATGCATTGAATAAACTTCAACGCTCACACTCGGGATACGTGAATAGAGAAAAATAAGAAATGTTTCTCACACCTATACACTTAAAACATAAACTCCTTAAATATTTTTGTTAAGTGTAATATTTGGTTTAAACTTGTGTGTTTGCTTGTTAAAGCATCTTATAAACACAAAAACTTGTTATATTAACGTTGGTTAATTTCCTTGAGAGACTAAGTGTAGTCAGAATTCTCAAGA